GGGGGGGATTTTTCACATCGGCCGTGACCTTCGTACAGACAGCTGATTTCATGGGTTAAAATTCTTCTACACACCGTTTTATGACCTACTTTCTGGCAAGACTCGGGACGAACCAGCCCCAGGTCAATGTTTCACTGAATAAAAAATCAAGATAACAGGTGTGTTGTGCTTTCTGTACTTCCTTCGTCCTTCGCTTGCTTCTTGTGGACGACTACGAACGACTGTAAAGCATAGAGATCTAGATCTAGATGTGTCTCCTTGATAATGTTCAACTGACTGCTGCCTTCGTTAGTAAATCGTTCAGTTGAGTAACTTGTCACCACAGTGCCGTGTTCATCTGATATTTAAAACAAAACATGACTGTTTTTTAACAAAGTCTAGCAATTCACCAACAAACAGGTGCATAGTTCAGGAACCAGCATCCAGGCCTATAGTCTAAAAAAGTGACTAATTTCATCTGCCGCTTGTTCTTGAAAATTTGGCCTCCTCATCCAGGGCATTCTCATTCTCACTCACTGGAATCAACGGTGCAGCGTCAGCAAAAGACACAGTTGATTTTTTTGTCATTGATAACTTGCATCAAACTATGGAAGGAAACCACGGCATTGAGCCTGATCAACAGGTATTGTTTGTCGGGCTTGTGTGTGTGGATATTTTAAATCACATGGAGAAGTACCCAATTGAAGATCAGGCACATCGATGCCTTGATTGTGTGTGGCAGCGAGGAGGAAATGCCTCCAATTCGTCAACTGTTATTTCTCTTTTGGGAGGAAGTGTAGAGTTTTTTGGCACCTTATCAGACTCCAAAGAACGGTCCTTTATAGAGGAGGACTTCAAAAAATACAAAGTAGAGTTTGAAAGGTGTGTTGTTGTTCCCAACACCTTATGTCCTATCTCAGTTGTTATTTTGAATAAGGAGACTAGTTCCCGTACAGTTTTACACACAAATAAAAATCTTCCAGAGCTAAAGTTGTCCCACCTTCAGGACAAAATTGACCTATGCTCAGGCTTAGTAGGATGGATTCATTTTGAAGGAAGAGATAATGCTGAAGAGATGGCAAAAATGTTAAAATACATTGATCAACAGAATGAACAATTGATTTCTTCTTCATCTTCTCGCAAACGTATTATTACCTCACTAGAGGCGGAAAAACTGCGTCTTGCCCCTCGATTGGTAGAATTTGACATGTGGAGATTACCAGATGTTATGTTTGTGAGCAAAGACTTTGCCCGTACTTTAGGATACACTGATATGGAAAGTGCTGCTCAGGGGCTTTACGAAAGACTGAAACCTGGGGCAGTGCTCATTTGTGCTTGGGGAGAGCAAGGTGCAGCAGCCATGTCAGCTCAAAGTGGCCTTGTTACATCAGCTGCTTTCCCACCGGATGGCATCGTGGATACTTGTGGGGCTGGAGACACTTTTAATGCAGCTACAATTCATGCCTTATCAAAAGGGAAAGATGTGAAAGATTCTATAACATTTGGATGCAAAGTTGCAGGCTTTAAATGTGGAATACAAGGATATGAAAATATAAAAGACTTTAGAAACACTTTGTAGAGTAAAATATGAACTTTTTACTCATGGCATGTAGATCTATATTCTTTTTGCATTTACAACATCAGCTGCTGAATTACTGTAGGCTATAAATAAATTGTGCATTCACTTTGTGTGTAGGCCTACCTCACATGCAGTGGATGCATTCTCTATTAGGCCTGTTTGTTGTTGTTTTTTGGTTCAGTTTCTTTTCATATTTTCCAAAACCCTCACATGAATTGCTAATAATGTATGCTAGTGATGTGTTTTGTTGGGCCAGAAATGTTTATTAGTTTACACCTATCCTTAATATACTTAGGCCCTAATAAATAAACCAAACTATGTTTCTGCGGGCCCTTAAGAATTTCATCTTTAATCAAATAGGTTGACTGATTTTTGTAATTATATGGAATCCTTGTAAACAGAGTAATCAAATTACGTGTTTTGTGATTTAATCTGTAAAAATAAAAGAGCTCCTTACAAAGACTTCACAAAAATCTTTCAAACGAAACAATTGTTTAGATTTAAGAAAAATGTACCAAATAATTCGTACCATCATTTTTAGATTCGACACCGTAAAAGTGTTCAAAGGGACACCACTCTCGACATTCGAGTTTCATCATTCGTCAACAAAAGTTTCAAGATGGCGGGTCATAGTAACGAGAGTGAACCGACATCGACAATGGAGCCACTTGTTTTGCCTCATGTAGCGGATAAAGCGTTGTCTGATATTACAGCCTTGCTCAGAGAGGCTTCATCCACCTCTTGTAATGAAAAGAAAGTAAAAGTGCTCCTTAAAGCGTCTGGATTGATTCAGGAATTACATGAAAGATTTACGTCAATTGATGCAGATTGTGTGGGATTCACACTTGCTTTACAGCATGTTTTGCGATCTTGTGTTGTTTCAACGTTTTCCAACAGAGACTACTTTTCATATTCTTATGAGGATTTTGAAGGGATTTCTTTTGTTAGCGAGGCTGTTTTACAAGTATTAGTAGCCGTTTTAGTTGCTGCAGTAAAAGAGAAAAGAGCAGGAGAAAACGTGCCTCAGTTGGTTGAGTTGTTTTGTGATGAAATTGTGTTAGATTTATTGATAATAATAGGGGCAAATATCGAGGACTCCTTGTGGTCCTCTGTCAAAGCTTCAGAACTCAGTAATGAAGTGCTGAACAATGTCCTCAAGTTATTTTCTTGTGAGACTGTGAACGAATTACTTTGTATGGAAGTGAAGACTGCTAATCATCAAAACGTTAAAAAAGTGACACTGTTCTCTTTGTTTCTTAGTCATTCCAAGGATTTCCTGTCAAAAGAACAGTGGCAACGTAACCCATATATGTGCAAAGTATTTTGCTGGTTTCTTAGTCAGGCAAAATTCCCACTTTTGTCTGACCACATTGATTTGATTTTAGCAGTATCCTTGAATTTTCTTCTAGATCATCAGGAACTCAATAAAGTTCAGGGTCTAAAAGTCATTCACCATTTGGTACTGAATGTTACGAGTGAGGAGATTAGGTGGTACAATCGTATAGAAGTGGTGCACCAAGCTTTAAACCAGCAATTGCACTCAAAGGAGTGCTTAGTTTTGAGTGAATTATTGCCTACTTTATTTGCAAGTGTTTGTGTTCTTGACAAGAATACTACAAGCGCTGATTATCATTGTGGTCTGCTTGAGACATTACTTAGAAATGCAGACATGGAAAACCTTCTCGTCTTACGTCGGCTGTACATGTCTAACATTAAGATTCTGATTCAGCAAATGGGCTTTCCATCTGCTGGGAAGCTTGGACTTATCCTTGGGGTTATTAGTAACTACCTACAGATAGATGATGGATCATCTGATATTTGCCGTGTGAAGACACTTGAAGTGCTGCAAACTATTGTTGAGGTTGCATGGCCACGAATCCCACCTCACAGAGACACCATTCTCAAATGCTTGTTAAAGGTTTTGGTTGATATCCAGACACTGCATTACCAGGAAACTCACTCGAAGGAAGCTCAAATGCAAATGAAAGAAAAAATAAATGGAATTTGTCAAATGCTCTGCAAAGTGTGTCCAAGTGCAACAAAATGTTTCGAAGCTTTAAAAGATTCAAATCATGTGTCTCATTTGTTATGGACATAAAAACAGACCTGCCAAGTAGATAGGGCTACTCCAATAAAATTGGGGATCTGCATGTGTGTATGTAAATGAATATATTTATGAAAATACACATTTTTGATTGTGTTTGTTTGCAATATTGCGCACATTATCTTGAATAAGGTGAAAAATTAGCATGATATTTTTATATTTGTGTTATTTAAAATATTTGCGCAACTTCTGTAAAATGAAGTGAAAATACACTTATAAATTCTATATTTGCGAGTATTTGCTTACACACTCTACAATTATTTGCCAATCTCGGTTTGTTACTTAACTTTCAACCTACTGACTGAGGTTTTGGAGACTTTCCATTTTTCCCCCCTAACGCCTATTTTTGGGAGGACTATGATGAGGAAAACTCCTATAGAGTGATTGGCAGGTCTTCATATTTCACTTTTTCTTCTTTTTTAACATTTTTCTTTCAGAATTTTGTTGTGCGTGCATGTTTCAGTGGTAGCAACTATCTACTATCAGGAGTAATTCTGCTTTTGAAGCCGATATATAATTTTCATGTGATGGTTTGGACACTTTTCTCACCACTCTCAACGTACGATGTACTAGACCAGGTTTTTGGAAAATCAAAATTTCTCACTGTTATTGTTTTGTGTTTTCTTTGAATATTTTAGGGTAACAAAGTGAAAGTCACAGGTGCACTGGCTTCTCTGTATTTTTGTAATGGTTAGGCTCTGTGCTGTTGCACGGGATGGAAGATATGTGGGCTCCTTTTTTGAACAGGGAAGCTTTTTCGTTGTTATTTTGTAGCAATGCCCACCGAGCGTGTTTTGTTCTGCCGATTTTTGGCCCCCGCAGCGGGGGTGTTCGCGGGACGCACTAACGCAAAGGTTGTTGTCTTCAACTCGCTCTCACGTCGCTTCTCGTGAATGGATATGAATGAAACTTGGCAGCCAATCAGAACAGAGGTCAAAATCAATTTTGTAGTATGCAGTTTGACAACATTGTACCCATCCAAGAAGTAGTCGAAAACGTTTGCGAAAGTGGTTGATGTGGTGCGCTTTGAAGATTTTTTCGGATCTGTGATTTGTCAAACTGACTGATACGTTGTACACCATTTTTCTTTATTCCCTTAAAATTTCATGCTTCTGTGTTTAGCGGTTTTCGCGTAATCTTTAAAAATGTGGGAGTAACTACTTCAGGGAAAAAGTGAAAAGCGGCATTGCCATTTGCGCGTGCTGGGTGAACGGTCGGCGGCTGGGAAATTTCCACTGAGTGACGTCATCAGCCATCGGTCGCCTCGGGCGCTACAAACGAGGCCGTGCTTATGTGAACCAGAAAGGGGGGAAGGGTACTTGAAAACTAAACTAACTTGCGTTTTTATTGCATTTTAGTCACAATACAATAGATATTTGCTTGATTGCATGACAGAAGAATAGAAACAGAAAAGCAAACATCTTGAGAAGTGGTATGGCGTTGTGTTTGTGTTATGAAAGCCTATTCCCCCCTCTTGGGAAAGCACACACTTGGACTCGTCCTGTGTGCTCTGTTTGGAAAAGTGAGGCTTTAAGATTGTTATTAAAGAGTATGGTACTTTAGTCCAGTCTGGGAAGATAGTCCCGTTTATACATTGTTATTGTTTACGCGTATGTGCGTGAGTGCACGCACGTGCGTGTGTGTGCGCGTGAGAGAGAGGGAGAAGGGGGGGGAGGGGGTGTAAATATGTTATATTTATTGTATGAGTTGTAGCCTACACATGCGTTGTAAACTATATTATCTGAACGCATCTTAATCTACCACACAATAGGACACTGTCCAACAATGGATATATACACAGAGACGATCTTATTTTCTATAACAAAGTATGCATGCTTTTACTAGTACAGAACTGGATTTATTCAACTAATAAATCCAGCTCTCTACTTACAATTTTGTGACAAATTGATCCAGAGCATTGCTTGGCAAGGAGGAACCTTTTATGTTGCCAAGTTTCATTCAAATATCATGACTTTGGGAGAACATACATATGACTGATAATCTTTGTAAATCTCTAAAGAACGCCACTTTTTTACCTGTTAATGTCTTTACATCTCAAAAAGTAGGACATATATTAAAAATCTGACAGCGTGACTAGATTCTGCATTAAAAAATGTACAAGACTGCCAAGTTTCATTTACATATTCCAAGAAATAGGCGAGCTATGACAAATATTGTCTCAAAACGACGCACTTTAAAACCGCCACATTTTTACCTATAAACGTCTTCATAACTCAAAAAATAGGATAGCTATGAAAAATATGAAAGCAGGACTAGATTTTGTACTAGAAAATGTACTGGGTTGCCAAGTTTCTTTTAAATACTCCGAGAAATGAGCGAGTTAAGACGAATATTGTCTCAAAACTCACCAAAGAACGTTCCATATTTTATTTTTTTTTCCATTTTATATAAAAATGTACCAAAAATTAATTGATTAAAAAATTCGTAATTTTTTGTTTATTGATGAATTTCAAAAATTCAAAAAGTTCCATGCTCTGTGAAGATAAAGCTACAAAATGCACCTATTTGCAAACACTTTCTGGCAAAAAAAAGTTTTTTTGTGGTCATTGCTATATTTTGATGTATTGCCAACAACTTGAATTTGCAGTGAATTGAGTACTAAGTGTTAAGGTGCATCATTTGGCTCCAATGCTTCTGTACTGTACTCATAGATTTTGATTTAGTCAGTGAGGGTTCATCCTTTGGGTTAAAAAATGTGCTTTTGTCCATAATATGTTACGATGTGTACAGTTTGTACATGTCATGCTTGTTGGAAGTTTTTAATTTTAACATAAAATTTATTGTACTGGGTATTTTTCTTGTGGTTTCAGATGGACGGTAGAGAGTATAAAATTCATATTATATACAGATCAAAAAGAGGGAAGAAAAAGAAGCTCATATCTAACTAGTTATCATACACATGATGGTCTTTACTATACATTCCATGTCCCAGTTCTTGTTGGTCCTGGTTTAAACAAATCTGCTTGGCGGCTTCTAAATATAATGGGTTTTGCTGCCAGACTTCATCTCCTTCAGGGACATTGGCTTCTCCCACGATGTTTACATTGAAAAATTTTCTGATTATATGGGTACAATTCTGTCCTACCCAGTGTTTGAGAGAATGACAGCCTCTGTGTCACTGATGTTGAAAGTTGAGAGTTTATTTCCTTGCCATCATGTTTTTTTCAAAGTTTTTGAGCCCGGTAAGGATTACATGATGCATAAATTGTCTTGTGACTGTATGCCGACTTGTTACATGTAAAGCCTTGGCTGACTTTTAAGTCATTTGTTGGTCATGTTGGTTTCACGATAGGCTAGTTAGAGCTAGTCATTTGTGGTCCAATTTATGATTTTGATTATTGACTTTGTGACCATCAATTGATTTGCATATTTTGTTTGAGCCTGAGCGCAAAGATTTTGAGTACTGGCTTATGACTTAATCAGAAAATAAAAATCAGAGAATCTGTAAGTTTGTCACTGTGTTTTGTGAGGGCACAACCACAACTTGTGGTTCAGGTGTCTTTTTTGTTGCTATATTACATTTTATGTATCACGCGGATAGTTGATTGGAGCTCTGATGTGGTTTGCTCCTTTTTCCCATCAAACATCAATTGCCCTTATCGTTGAGTTGGAGACTGGCAGTAATTCCCAGGTCTTTTTGTTGCTATGATACAGCTGGTCATAAACTTAGATCTAATATGGCCAAATGCAAGTTTGGGCTTCAAATAAACATGTATTTTTCTTTATTGCATTTTTTCCTCTCTTGACTGAAAGTGAAAAAAAAAAGGGGGGGGAGGGGGGCTACCAACCAATACGGTACATGTATTGTGTGCAGCAGCAGCGATACTAACTTGGCAAAGACAGCAGATGTTCTGGGTCCAAGTTAATCATTATTTATGTCTTTTCTTGAATATTTATCCCTCTGGGTTTCCTGTTCAAAGGTGGAACCATTGGCCTTGTGTTTAGGAGTTGAAAGCTTGCCCCGTACGTGATGGGGGGCACAAAACATACGATCGACCAAAGCCCAAACTTGTATTTTCTCTTGTGACCATAGAAGTGATATAAACTAGTTCTCAAGAGCCCCCTGTTATTGTTTACTCGGTATCATGCTGGACTATGGAGTGGATGACCCTGGTTCGAATTCCAGATGGGCATTCTTGAATTCAAGTTGTTTTGAGAAGTTTTCAAGGCTCTCAATCAACCCTATCGGAGACGACAGGACAGTTAAATTCCAAGGTCCTGCCTATTACTGTTGATAGAGGCATTAAACTCATTGACACTTACTTTACACTAGTTCACGAGAATGGCAGGACTGTCTCTCACACTGACAGACAGCCAGCCAAAATGTTAAATACAATGCTCACTTGCAATGTAAAGTTTGACCACTGACATAACATGGTGCCCGTGGTGTAGTGGTTAGGTGCTTCGCCACAGCATGCAGAAAATGTGATGGTAATTTCTGTGTGGGGAGAATTTTTATCATCTCCATTTTTCTGCTGGGGCATTGCAACTTGCACATCTCTCTCTCTCTCTCTCTCTCTCTCTCTCTCTCTCTCT